TCTTCATAGCGCTGTGCACTGATTGGGCCCCATGCTCGAGAAATTTGACAAGCAGAGGGCCCTTGCAGTTGAAGAAGAATGTCGTCATCATCACTTTCTGGAACTTGTGTGTACGCCTTTGGATTACTTCGGTGGGGGAGAATTCATGTGTTTCCACTGTTGGCTCTGCCATCTGCTCTTGGGATCAAAATGGTGGCACCAAGTTTCGTCCCCAGTGGCAATACAGGATAGAAAAGCATACTCTTCCTCATGGTATCATTGCAAGTGACACAGTGATACAGCCATTCTGAGTCTTCTGTTCCTCCGTGAGTTGATGCGGAACCCACTGCATGCAGATTTTGCAGTACAGCAGATGTTTTGTCACAGTGGCATGTATGGAACCGTGACTTATTCCCATCAAAAGACTAAGTTCTTCCACGGTGATCCATCGGTTTGCCCAGATATGACCATCCAACGCAGCAATAACATCAGGAGTGATGACACAATCAGCCTGTCCTGGGTGAGCATCATCTTGCAGTGACACCCATCCCTCTCGGAATCTCTTATTCCAAGCCAGCACATGCAAACGTGACATGCTGTGTCGCCATAAACAACAGACATACGACGATGAATTTCTCATCCTCCTACTCCTTCAGCAGTCAAAAAGCGCACTACACTTCGCTGTTCTTCTTTACCCGCCTCCATTACTGATGTTTGACAACCACATGTAGCGCTAACCATACTTCCAGCACAACAAACAAACGACTAGTGTGCAAGGGCACGTTGTCACTGTGTTTTCCCCGAGTCCCCACCAGATGTTCGTACCGTAAGCAAATTCCAGTGTTATCAAATTGCCGTGCGAGTTATGCGTGGTGACCCGTTTTCATTTGACTGCCCCTTATATTACATTGTGTACAGGTTAGCTGAGGCCTTAGTGGACCACCCTCCTTCCTTTTTGCCTCACAGTGTGCATACACACATCAATTAGGTTTGAAAACTGTTGTCACCAATTGCTACAGAGAAAATATCTGATTTGTCACTCACCAATCAGCACTTGGTTTTTCCAAGTTATGCAAATATGACTCCTATCATTTGTGGCACAGAGAAGATGGTGGGCCATACCCATAGAAGTCATAACAATCTGTTTTTTTTTAATACAGTTTATCCCTACTATTCTATGCCTGGTCTGTGTGTGTGTTTAGAATAAAACGTATGACATAATAGATGAATCTTGGTCACAACGTGGATGCACAGGACATAACAAGGTGCAGAAAATACCAAATTATCTTTTTCTAGTGACCAAATATCTGTAGAGCTACCAGATTCTGAAAACTTGTTTCATTCTTGTACATCAGCAGGTTTTGTATCCTGAACAGATTAGCAAATGGAAAAACAAATGAACGAAGAGAAACAGAAACAGCCCTCCTCCACCAATGTGCCACAGGGCTTGTCATTATGACCCATATCACAAAATGTTCCTGTCAAGCGGGCAGCACTCCTGCTTTGCAATCAGGAGGCAAGGAAAAGAGAGAGAGAGAGAGAAAGAAGAGGAGGATAGTGGGAAAACTAGGATGAGGAGATAAAGCTATCTCTGCATCAGGCTGTGGAAGCTCATACGGTTGTTAAGATGTCTAGGCTCCCACATATTCTAGACAATTGGCTGACAGATGCCCCCGAGGATGTCAGCCTTATGTTCCAGCCACCCCTTACCCCCGGGAAGATTCCTGGTACTCATTTCTGTCAGAGGCTGAGCTGCCCCCAGGGCCATAGTGTGGCTGAATGATTAGGTCAATTGAATAATCGCAAGACCTCATCAGGAATCAAACACATTACTTTCCGGCTTGTAACACAGTGCCTCAACCACCTACACTACTGCATGCCCTTGTAATCAGGAAGTAGTAGGTTTAAACCTCAGACTGGACACCAGCTATCCTGACTTCGAATTTTCATAGCTTTTCTTAATTTCTCCAGGCATATGCTATTACAGAACCTCAAATTAGGCCACTACCATAACCAGGGTTCTCATACTGGCGCTATTTTCTGGGATATAATATCATGAAGCCCAGAGAAAGGCATTCAACATTTTGAAGGAAAATATCACCTCCATCTTCAGGGATCAAGAGTAAGCCATGCATAAAAAATCTGCATAAAGCAGGCAGCAAGCACAACTCAGTTTGCTTGACTTCCTTTTCAACCCTAAAATGGCAGCATTATATCCCCCAGAAATGTTGGCCAACTTTCATAAGATTACATGGCATCATACCCCAAAATGTACAGCTCTTCATTTCACCTGTATACCGAAGGTGACCAAATTATATTTCAGCATCCTGTTGCATTGAGGCATCATTCTTATTATTCAAGCACACCGTCAATAATGTAACAATGATATAAAACACACGTAAAATATATATTTTTTCTCTAGAAGTGTAACTTTAATACTTTAAAATGTCATTAAGATGCTGAAAGTATGTCTTATACACTAAAAATGACAATCAAAATACTTCAAAATGTCTTTTTGTTTTACATAATGTTTTTCCAATTTTGCAACATGTTTCGGTCGCATATGGGCCATCATCAGGCAACTTTTAATCTGTGGGGAGACCACTGCACTGTCCACTTGTCTTTAAGCTCCCACGCACGTCACTGTTTAGTTGTTGTAAATCATATCTAAAATACTGTTATTGTATTCTTTTTTCGGCCATCATATCCTTGTATGCTGTTCTTTCCTGTATGTGTTTTTGGTACAGTCACACTTTTGGTGAAAAATATATTTTAGGTGTCTTACATATCATTATTGCATTATTGAGCATGTGCTTGAATAATAAGAGAAGGTGACCAGTTTGAATCTCAGCCAAGCCACCAGCTATCCTGGATAGGGTATTTGTTGTTTTGTGCAGTTCAGTCATGTCACTTCCAAATCATAATTAGTAATTAATCATTCTACTATTCAAGACAATACAGTATGAGAACTGACAATGTGAGTGATGCAACAGTGGCATTTGACACGTAAGGCATATAACCCCTCTACCTGCAGTCTGTTAACATATACTGTACATACGGCAGTAAGCTTAATTTATGTGGCCTATAGTGAAATGAAAGAACTCTCTGTTCAAGTAACAATAACCTTGTACTTCCTGTAGCTAAGGAGGTCAGCCTAAATATAAATACTGTGCCATGTAAACCTGCTGCTAGGCAACAACCGCAAAATAAGCAACTATGTAACAGTGGTTGCTAAGTAATAAGCTCTGCAATGGCCATTGCTAGACAATGGCTGAGTAGTCATCATGTAGGTACCCAAACAGAAATGAATGCAACAATTCCACTACAACAGAGGAACGGTGTTTTCTGTGCAGTCCATGCAGAGATGTAATAAGCAGGACAAGTTAGGAGCTGTAGTTAGTTAGATAACCACTGGGGTTCAGTTGTTGTGAGCTGCTGCTGTGAGAAGCAACAGCTAGCAAAGATGGTAATGGACTGGAAAGACCTAGTGTATCCTATATTGGTCTGTGAAATGCATAAAACAGTAAGAGCTTAAGCTTTACTTGCAGTTATGAGTTGTAAAAGTTCAATAAATCAGATTACCAATGCAATTAGTTTCACGTTTCGATTCCATGGAAATTATGTAATGACAAACTGATAAACCAATACTTCCCAGTTAGATCAGTTATACTAGGTGGTTCAAATATGACTGGGACTGATTTTTTGTAAACAAGCCGCACTGCGCAGCAGCTGTGCGGCCTTGAGAGATTGTAGCCACAGCCTCTACTCTCCCTCCTGTTAGGGTTAGAACCTGTTCAGTGCTGTCTGGGAGTCGCTAGAGGGATGAGCGTACAGAAGGTACCGCAGAGCGTGGAACAACGCATTGTGATCAAATTCCTCGTTGGAGAAAACGTCCCGCATGGACCCATGTTTGAGTGGTGTAAGTGCTTCAGAGAGGGCAGAGAGCGCGTGGAGAATGAACCGCATGATCATCGGCCGCGAACATCCATCACCAAGCCAAACATTGATCGTGCAGACGCACTTATTCGTGAGAATAGGCGCATCACTATCAAGGAACTTGGAGCAATGCTGTCCATCAGTGTTGGTAGTGTAGAAGACATCGTGAAATACCACCTGCACTATCGCAAGGTGAATGCATGGTGGGTACCACACACTTTGACCGACGTGAACAAAATAGTGCACATGTAAGCTGCCAGTTGTCTCCTACAGCAATTTGAAGATGAAGGTGATGCATTTTGGAAGTCTATAGTGACCACCGATGAAACGTGGGTGCACTACTTCATTCCCGAGTCCCAGCAATCATCACACAAGTGGTGGCATACCAGTTCTCCCAAACCCAAGAGAGCGCAGAGGAGCCGTTCAGCAGGAAACGTGATGGCAACATTCTTCTGGGACTGGCAGGGGGTTATCCATGTAGGCTTTCTGACAGATGCCAGAACAGTCAATACAGCTTATTACTCAGACCTCCTGGCAACGGACGTGAACGAAAAGATCCGAGCCAAGCGGAAGACAGGTGGAAAGTGGGTAGCCTTCCTTCAAGACAATGCATGCCCTCATACGGCCAAAACAACAATGGAAACCCTCCGGAAATTGAAATGGAACCTGCTGACACATCCGCCGTACAGTCCCGATTTGGCACCAAGTGATTTCTACCTGTTCGGAAGGCTCAAATCAGACTTGCAAGGCATGCGGTTTGTGGAAGACGATGCCGCCATCCAGAATGTTCGGGAGTGGATACGCCGCCAACCACACAACTTTTTTTTTTTGGGCATCAGGATGCTTCTAGAAAGTTGGAAAAAATGTGTTGACTCCAGAGGGGAGTACGTTGAAGACTGACATGTGCAAGTAAGTGTTTGGCAATTATGGTTTTTTTTTAAATCAGTCCCGGTCATATTTGAACCACCTTGTATATGGATTATTTAGACGAATTTTGGGCTTGAAAGGATTAAAAATGAAGAGGATATTTGTGCAAGTAATAATCTGCAACATAGCATATAACAAATGCCTCTTGATAAACATACCTGCTGTGAAGATGGGAAGCCCTGTGAACCAGCAGAGAAGCCTGTGGCCGCGGATGCTGTACAGTTATAACCTGCACCATACGAGGCATACGACGCTGTCTGTCCTGTGGAGGCTCCACTCTGCCCACTATGATGTGAACTGCTACCTGAACTGGAGCTGAACGCTGTGCTAGATGTGGCATATGGACTCAGGTAGCTGGTTGCACTTGAACCTTTACACTGCTGGTTGAGGCCACGTGAGCCTGAATAACACAAATATAGAGAGCAAAGGTTCTCACAATGACAAGTATTAAGATTACCGTCTTCTGGCTTATGATGGTACATAGTTTGGCAGACAGGTACCGATGTCTTGTTAAGTGCCTGCTGCCTCGATCTTCAGGGTAGTAGGTGGTCACCAAAAATTCAGAGGAACCTCTGGATACTAGGATTACCAACACCAAAATTCACTTTCTTAAATTATCAAAACCTCTATAATATTTCACCTTTCGAAGTCTGTCAAGGCTCGATGTTATTCACATGCTTCGATTATAAAAAACAAATAGTAACAAGCAGTCCTCCATTTTTCTGGTCATCCACGTGTCTAACGGACTCTTTATTTTGGTTTGTATTTTACACCTTCTGTGTACAACATCAAATACAACACAGTTTATTATATTGTAGCATCCTGCTGCACTTCTCACTTAATATCAATAGTTCCACAGTCTCACATGCAACACCAATGTTCTATAAAGCTTATTAAAAGCTATTCATTTTAAGGTTTTACACTACATGTTTCGACCAATGTGGTCATCATCAGGTGTTAAATGTTATGGATGAGGAAACTGCTGTCTTCTGTATCGTTGCATAAGTTGTTAACATGCTGTCCCCTCAATATGCATGTGTGTTTGAGGTGGTGGGTTGTGTTCCTTCCTGTTGTATTATATTGCGTATCTTGTGTTAACGTGAACATCTTTCAGTATGTTTCAGAGAACATTAGTGTTGCACATGAGACTGTGGAACTATCGATTCAACACAGTTATTAATTTGTACAGTATCTCATACACAGATTGTGACATTACACCTGAAAGCCAGAATATTGCAGCTGAGCGAGACATCCACTGCTAGACAAGAGCTTGGTAATCATGTTTCCATTACAACAAATAGCAGTGAATACATCGTTGCCTAGGGGGACAAAGTTGCTCACATCCGTGACATTCTTTAAGTCATGTGTGTCCCCTGGGTAGTGCAAAATGAGCAACAAACCTGGAAAAGCTTCCCAAAAGAAAAGGGCAAACTTCTTCAAGATACAACAAAGCAAGAACTTGAGTGCTCTATTGGGAAGCAAGAAGCAAAATGGGTTAAATGATCCCAAATGCAGCCATTGGAAACCAACCAACCAACATCGTTGCCTAAGTTGTAAGTGTAAACACATTCCCCTGACCAGGAGTACATAAATAAACAGTTATTAAGACGCAAGAAAAATAGAACTCTTCAAGGAGGTGTGTTCTATCCCAGCTGCGAAGCAAATATAGGAGGAGACCAGATCAGGATTCATTCATTTATTCAGTTGTAAAACTTCGGTCAAGGCGGTTCAATAGTTGAAGTGTTGAAGACTCTATGTGCTATAGTTACAGTAATTTTGTGAGTGTAAGAACTAATTGTAGTTACGACTTGTGAATATCCAATAAATTGATTCAGCAATCCAAACCCCATCTACAAGTCACTAATACACGTGACAATATACTGGGTGAGTCTTAATTGCACATATTAAACATAAGCATAGTGTTCTACGCTTACAGGCAAACAGAAATGTTTGTATAAATACATGATCACAATCACTTCATTATCAAGATATGGCAACTATGAGGTCTATACTGAAGATGTTCTAGTGTTGGGATGCTTGTTATGGTTGACACAAATTGTACTGAATGGCAGAGAATGTGGGGTATTCATTCGATAAACTGACAGGTAAAACATCACTGTATGCAGAATCAGAAGATAACAGTGACGCTACTGCATGGCTGTATGCTGAAATGCACCCACAATGATGACATCCAAATGGCAAGGCATTAATTCATCTGCAAGAAACAGGTCACATGTGGCCCAGTATAACAAGAGCTGGTTAGAACAACATGTTACAGGACGCTGATATGGAAGAGCATATTAAAGATTTCCTGGTACTAGTACCAGGCAGATGACCTGTTGTCACCACATTTCTCACCGAACTGTGGTGACACTGTTGCATCATCAGCCGCTGCAGCCGTTCACATTCTACATATAGCATGATCAAGCTCTGCAACCGCTGGTGGCTTATGAGCATCAAAAACCATTTTTCAAGGGCTACTGCAGACGGCTGCAGTGTCTCTAACCTTCCACAGCTGAGAGCTGATGATGGATGAAGCATCCTTAACATGAAATTGGATTTTGCATACTTGTAAACCACACAGATGAGTTCATGAAAATCCACATTCCTTTCAAGAAGCATGTTTCCAAAAGCAGTTTGCAACAATATTTGGAAAGGAATAATTAGTTATCTCATCTTCAGTCCCTATAAACTACTGCCTCAACTATCACAGTTTCTGTCTCAACAATTACCATAACTGTACTTGAACCACCTGACAACATAGCAGACAATGTGGGTACTGCATCAGACTAAAGCCATTGTTCTCGCAATGTCATGCAGTATCCAGGCAGCCACATCAAGTCAATGGGAGAGGACAAAACGGGAAAGCTGTGTCGCCTCTGGACTCACCCAATCTCACTTCTAATGATCTCTAACTGTGGGTGTCATCTGAGCACGGTTCATGCAGAATGATGTAACACGCAGGAGAAGCAATGGAAGGACAATAGACAACATGCCCAACGCCATTCAGCAGACCAGGAATTCTTGGGGCAAAAGGGGTCAACTATCTGCAGACAGTAACGACTGACCATTTCAACGTCCTTCGTAAACCATTAGGAACAGGTGACATTCCATTCTGTGCACAGCTAATACACTCTTGATCCACAAATATGTTGTCTACTTTTCTTTCCTCACACTTCCTGGCGCCATATCCCACTAACAAAGTGATAGTGACCATATATTTATACGATTGTTTCTGCTTGACTTTTTAAGTTTGAAACACAATGTTTATATTCAAGGAATGTACTTGAGATTTGTCCTGTATAAGTGTTTCTAATATTTCCTGTTTCCTACTGCAAACCTGATAGAGAATGCCTAAAGGTATTATGAAATTTAATAAATTCATCCCATATCCTTGCCAATGTGTACAGAATCCATGGCTGTTAAAATAAATTACAAGTCTTGGGTTACAATTTTTGGGTGTGATTTTTAACATCTTTCCAAGTCTTTTTATTTCATTGTATGAGTAAAATTTAATATATTATCCCTTATTACTTCATTCAGTTTTAACTGCTATATACTGTCATGTTAAGAGGGTCCCTTGTTATCACAACATGGCATGGACCTAGGGCCGCACACAAATAAACTGGCAAAATGGAATTCAGATGTGGAGGAAAGCTGCGAATATATTTCGTAAGCAGTTGTGGACAGTTATGGTCCTCCAGTTGGGCACACAGGAGCGTTTCAAATAATTCCCCTTCATAACATACTTGTTACAAAATGCTACACAAGGCTTCAGGATTCTCTGGTATGACATAAGCAATGGATAAGACATATGGACTGTGGAATGCGAAGAGTCTCTCTACAGAGAAGTTTCATCAAGAACATTACTGAATTTTAATGAGGAAAGCTGTAAGTAGAAGACGAGTAGGGAAATCTAACTGTAGATGGGAGGCTAATATGAAACTGGAAGGGTAGCGCCATAGCACAGGGGGTTAGCAGCCAGATTCCCATCATGACTGATTTCATCCTAGGTTGGGTCATATGTGACTTGTGGTGGACAAAATGGCATTGGGGCAAACTGTTATTCCACCAACTGCTCCACATTCATTACTCATCCCAATTACCAATGCCATATGGTCTCAATACTGACAGCATCGTTAAATAACTTAAAAGAAATTAAAATGGATGTTAAGGAAAATAGATGGAAAGGTGTGGACCATCGTGCTGAACCTCTGGGGTTCCATAAATGCTAGAAATATCTGGAGCAGCTAAGCAACTCTCAGTTTCTCAAGGACTCAGCTCAATGGAATTAATTAATGTGCTGCTAAATTGTGACACTAAGAAGAAAAGAGCTATCACATCCTGTGTGAGGAATGTATACTTGCTGCTAGACGTCCAACTATCAGTACTTACCAGCTGCACTGTGGTACCCTTGCTGCAGCATACCATAGGCTGGAGAACTGTAGAAGCTTGAGCTCTGCATGTATGCTGCAGCCGCTGATGACTGGCTGCCATATGCTTGGTGCATACTGTGTGTCACATACAACATCAGTACCACATTATTCACTGCTCAACCTCTGACTCAGACATTTATTTGTTATTTATGCATTACTTATTTGCTTGTTTATTTATATACTTGCTTACATATTTACTGGCCAATCACAGTGGCCACATGGTCTAAGAAGGTATGAACCGTCTTTGCGCGCTCAAACACTGGGATCGTGTGTTCGAATTCCACTCGAGGCATGAATATTGGTGTGCGTCTGTCCTGTGTTTGTGTTGTTCTGTGTATAGGCTGTGGCCTTGTGACAGGCTGATCCCGCATACAAGGAGGCCTACCGTGTATAGGCTTAAGAAACTGAAAAGGTGGCCAAGGACCATGTATGTACAGATGGAAAAGACATTACACAAATATGACAAGCAAAAGAACAAAGAAGACAACCTAAAGGGAAATTTCAGGTTCTCTCAGTGGTCAACATTAAGATTGCAGGCTTTGTGGGCATGCCACCGCTCAGTTTGGTACACAGGTATCAACAATTCAGCAAATTCTGCTGCCTCTGTTTTCAGGATATAATTTCTACCATGAAGATGGAAGCAGTAGTTCTTTAAAAATGTTGCTACCTACCTACAAGACGGCACAGCATCACAGACTTTAAGTTCAATTTCATGGATTGCACTATTCAAACCACTCCAAGAGAAAGTTCAATAGGATCAGCATTCAAGCCAAAGGTCAGAAACAGTGGCAAACACTTTACAGCAGCAGTACAGTGTAGGGCAGAGGAGGACTGAATATGTGGGTGAGAAAGTGGCACATCTGTTCAATGAACGGCCAAAGATGTTTAAAATTACCTGCTGTAATATTGCTGAGTGGAAGAGTAGGGGTGTTGTGAATAATCCTTGCTGTCGCTGTATGAACCAATTGAGTCTCCTGTCCCTGAGTACAAAGCTTCCGATTGGCTTAGTGATGAGCTGTCGCCCAAACCAGGACTGCGAACTTCACTCTTCACTGCTGTGATTGAAACAAAATTGGGAATTTGATACATAATGACCAAGAAACTCATCTAAGGAAGGCTTTATTACACAACAAACACAAAATTATGCAAATATAACAACAATGGCACATGAAGATTACAGTCTTTTCATATGTAGTGCCGATGTCAGAGTAATTTTCTGTCTCCATCTTTAGCAAACCGTGAAGATGGAGGCAACAGATTAATCTGAAACATCTGTACTCATCAACAAAACTGCATAGCATCCCATCAACTCACTGTCATGAGAACCTCGACCTCAGTGACATATCTTCGGAATTAAATTCAATTCACAGGATACTGCTGTTATTTTAGACACAAGCCAGTAACGCACATGCCACAGGCAAAGGAAAAGGTGCCAAGGGATTACGCCTTTCAGTTTTACTATCACTCATACTTAGTGGCACACGTACTCCTCATTATATGTACATTAAAGGAAATGATTTAATTTCAATGCTCTCAATTACTTCAAACCACTTTCAATTAATAGCATTCACTTTAGTGTGAACTGCTCATAGACTGACTGACAGAGGAAATGAGATGGGGGAGTAAACAGCTGTCAGGGAAGAAAAGAAAAATGTGGCCTAGCCATGAAACTTATGTGCATGAACTATACTATAACTCTCTGAGGCAATTATGGGGATCTTCAGTATACTGTCCCTTGTGTTTGTGTTACATAATTGTGAAGTACCTGTACATAATATGTCAACATATGTTTCACATGTCATGGATACTGTTACTACATCAATATACTTAGCACGACAGCTTGTTACTACATATGTATCATTTTCATAAAAATAATTACCTTAAGACAAGTTACATATTTTTCAAGAATATGTTACCCAAAAGTCCTTAAAACCAAGGGTGGTTTTGTTGTTGTTGTTGTTGCTGTTGTTGTTGCTGCTGCTGCTGCTGTCATCGTCATCGTTATCGTTATCATTGTCGTTGTCGTTGTCGTTGACATTCTCTTGGACTTTGTCCAGCATCCTAATCTCTCCATACAAAAACCACAACTTCTCAAAAATATATATTCTATTTCTGAAAAGTACGACAGTCTTATGTGTTGCAATGCTTTTTATTGTTTGGAGGCAACCTGATGTTTCAGTGAAATGTATCACCTCCATCTTCAGGATCGAAGAGCAAGCCGAAGAACAATATAGCACAAACAGGCAGCAAGTGCAGCTTAACTGAAATGTTCCTCTGAAACCTGTGGCTCTCTCTGCACTACATGGTATTAAAAAGAACATATGCCTCATCATCTATCTTCAGACAAGACTCCTATTCCACTGGGTCCTTAGGTACAGATACCTCATGCCCTGGGGCCCTTGGATGGGAACAGAAACCATTTAAGAGTAGAGACCATAGCTTAGTTAGGCTAGCAAACATCCATCAGTCCACTCCTAAGTGTCACCTTCACTACTTAACATCCAGCAACAAGCAGAATATGGGATCATAATCCTTGTAGCTCCAGACTTGCTTACCCTAGTTCATACCAGGGTTGTTCAATTTTACTTAATCCACACTTCATTTTTTTACATGTAAATTTTACCCATGCTAATTCTGTCACCAAACAGAAACCATTATAAATATGGACCCATATGAGAGGTAAAGGGTTTTGCAATTCAATAGAGCACTTGTTAAGCATTTATATTCGCCTGATGATGACCAGATAAAATGGTTGAAACATGTTGTGATTTTAATAAAACAAACTGAATATTATACATTCTCTGTGTTGCATCAGACGGAACATGATAATTGACTAGTTCAGTCACACAACAGGATGTACTCCATAAAGAAAAACAGTAACAATTCTTTGAACATTTTTAAATTGAAATTAAATTCTTAAGAAAGCGAGTTGAAATTCAAAGCATGTGAACCAGTTAGCAGACACAATATTACACTGGTTTGGCAGCTGAAGAAGAATGAACAGTATGAGAACATCAAAAAGGGCATTACAATGTACAGAGGAATGAGGCATACGGGATGACCCAGAAGAAGATGGATCAGCAAAGTATTCAAACACATCAAGAAGGTAGGAGAGAATAGGCAAGAAAGAGAAAAAGATGGACTTGGGAGGAAAACACGTACTGGAAGCTTTTCGTTCACAGACCCATACAACATGAAAATTATGCTAAGTTCTGCTTATACATTTATCAAGTAATTTACTGACTTCAACCAGGACCAACTGTACACTATTAAAAGCTACGTAGAATACAAAAATAAATAAATAAATGTCATTATTACCTTGGTCTGTCTGTTATGAATCTTGTTCAGTATGTTTCATGTGTACATGTAACATTTAAGAAAATTTCTGCAGAAGTTAAAAATTGTCAGCAAGGCCGAAAAAAGAACCTAGAAAATTCTGTTTACTCAACCAACAGAAGACTATTTTATCTGATGGATATGTCCCTTTGACCTAGCAATTACTTAGACATTTGAAAGGTGCCCTTTTATGGGTTATAGAGTTTCACCTCATTGTCATGACAGGCTAGCAAACAAACTCAACCTGTCAAGCACCCACTCAGCATACAAAAGTCACTTGTTCACATCAATAATTCAATTAATTTAGAATTTAAAGTCATAATATTCTCACGACAGTAAGTTCATTTCCATTATGTGGGAAACCAGTATTACTGGCAGTCCACACAGAGACAAAAACATGTGAAAGGCTTCCTTCTGGAGTCCTCTGCTAAAAGAAAAATCCAAGCAAATGATGTTAAATTTTTTAGAAGTACCAAGGGAAGAAACAAGATGGGGTAGAATTAGAACTGAAATTGTTAGAGAAGTAGTTGAAGACTGACGCTGATCTCTCCATGGCCTCTTAATAATTTGATATGATTATTAATTATTTTTTTATATTTATTTCTTTGTTTATTCTGAATTTAGTTACATTATTTGGATTTTATTAAGACAATGGTGTAAAATTCAAATGCCATACTGCTTTGTTTCATATATGTAATACAGAGTTTTAAGAAAAATTCATATGAAAGTTAATGATGTCGAGACATTCAGGCTTGGCAGATTAAACAGGAAGTAGAGAAGTGATATGTTGTCCCCATAGCTAAGGGTCATGAGACAGTTTAGGGCAAATAAACTTAAGGATCAAAAGGAATCAGGACAATTGTGGAGAAGCACACAATTTCGGTTCCACTAACAATGTACACTAGTATGCTATTTCTATGTCATAAATTTGAATTTTTGTAAAAATGACTTAAAAATAACCAATTTGGGACAGTCTTAGACCAATCTTAGTGAGAAAACCTCTGTGTGAAATCTGTGAGGGTTAACACTTTGTGTTTAGTTCTTGCACTGTAAGGATATATATTAAATACACCACATAAATTAAGGTCCCTATACAAATACAAAGCATCTGTATTCAATAAATTATTTGATTCAAACAAAAGTAAACTAAAGAATATATTTATATAAAGTTTATCAGGGTAAACAAGAACTACATTAATTCCAACAGTGTCTTTGCTACCATCCAACCATCCAGTGACTGTGTACATAGAAGCCTGCATATTAACTCTTAAGTACTTTGTGGGGAACCCAAAAATAAAAGATGAATTATCAGTCACTGACACTTGTGGCCATTCCAAAATCCTTGTGGTCCACATACAAACCCGACCCTGGTAGTGACCCAGATGCTTTCTGCATTCCATAAATCCTTATCCCAATTAATCCAGCTAGTCTCATGTCACCTGAGTCCTGTCAGTTAGCATAATCGATAAATCAAGATGCAGGGAGGGAAGCAAGAAGGTAGGATGGTCTCGAGTTCAAAATTTGTTATTGGAGTTAGGAAAGAAATGAGATACTGAGAGGGACACCGGAAGTAAAATACTGTAGCACGTAAACCCACTGCTAAGTAATGACTCTATAAGCAGTGCCCATGGCCGGTCACGGTAGCTGAGCAGTCTAAGGCAATCACTGTCTTCGCTCGCTCGGAAGCCGGGATCGTGGGTTCGAATCCCACTCAGGGCATGGATGTTTGTGTGCGTTTTTCTATGTTTGTCTAGAGGTAGAGGCCTTGTGATGAGCTGATCACTCGCCCAAGGAGTCCTACCGTATGTGTAAGATCTAGTAAACCGAAGTGAAACGGAGAGTTTCATGGAGGTAGGCCTAGGCCCAAATTGGGGCTGTAGCGCCACAGGAAAAAAAAACAGTGCCCATAGCTAGGCAGCAGTTTTCTAATATGTGCCACTGGACTGGGTGTAAAGCAGTGTTTTCTGCACAGTCCACACCGATGGTTGCGCACGTAACAATGGATACAGCAACAGATCAGTGGTGTGCGGTACTATTTTTGGTAAGGGAAGCAGTGGTATCTAATAAACAAATTGATAGCAATCAACTCACCAAAATTTACATCACTTATTGAGTCAATAAGATCGTTTTGTATTCTGTTCGATAAACCTGTAAATACTGTACTGTTCCCAAGGTGAGCATTGAGTTTATGATCATATTTCCTCAACAAGTGAACTAATTCCACATAATTACCTCGGTCGATAGAATCCATGCTTTCGTCATGACCACGGTGACCAAACTGCCACTTTCCTAAATGGCAGATGATATCAATCAACCGTTTCATTACTTCTCTATTTTCTTTCACATTTTCATTCTGCTGTAGTATCGTCGGGCGCTTTTGATTGTCAAGGTGACAATCAATTCGAGATTTCCCAAACATAACAAGTTGCATTGTTGAAATAATGTAATAATTAGACTTGCTTCCCTTAAACGCGGATAGCTTCTTTCTGATGCGTCAAAATACNAGCCACTCTGTTTTAGATTACTGTTCCAAATTAAATTTCTTCACACATAATTTGGTTTGTGCTTTAAGTTCTGGTAACTCTCATGTTGGTCCTCTTTCTATAATTATTTTCTTTTCAGAAAAGTCCCTGCTATTAAACCCCCGTTTTAAAAGGCTTTCTTTCAATTGCGCGGTCGCGTTGTCTGCCAGCATTCATTTTAGCTGTTGCCTGTGCGTGTAGTCTATTCACGCCCCTGCCCCTTGTACCACAATATCAGACTTGCTTCCCTTAAATGCGGATAGCTTCTTTCTGATGCGTCAAAATACGATCACAAATACAATCTTATGCCATATAAACATGCACTTACAATATTTTAATAAAACTAAATGTTACTTATAACACCCAACAAAACTAAAATCACACATAAACAGTTAATTTTCACATAACCATCGAAAGAACACATTGCTTCACTGGTCTAGCCAGCAAACCGAAATTTGCTTCCATTGGTCACTTTGGATGGGACGAATTCGTACTGAGATTAACGAAGGAAACTTGGTCTGTCTAACCAATCAGGGAAAGGGAGGAGGAGGAGGCATGTGGCCTTGAGCAGGAACATGCGCTAAATGACAATATTCAAAACCTTATTATTCAAAATGAATTATTTATATATGACTTCTTCTCTTTTTGTTTCTTAACTATGGAAGCAATGCTCCATGCACGGCACGCCACAGCAACAGAGGAATGGTGTTTTCTGTAAGCTCCATGCTTAGATGTTATAAGCACAATAAGTGGCGGGACTGCAGTTGAGTGAAGTCAAGTAGTTGGTTGGTGGGTTACTGAGTTAGAGGACTGCTGGAGTCCAACAGTTGTGGAACCTCCACAGTTGTAAGCCGTTACAGGACAACGGCTAGTGAAAACAGTAACAGATTGAGAACAGTAGTCTCTATGTGATAGTGATTTGTAAGGTGTGCTCATAAGTTGTGTGTTAAAGTTGTCAATAAATCCAATTACCAATACGAACCCTGTCGAGTCGCTAATACACGTGACAATGTAAATGGAAGAATTATGGGATGGTCCAAATGATCATTCAGCTAGGTATTGCAAGCTATCATGAAGAGAGAAAACAGCTAGAAAGAAACTGAAAGGAAGGAACTGTTTGAAGAAAGAACAGACCTTACTCTTCATCAACCCAGAGAAGGTGAGTAACTTGTTCCAACACATCACATTCATTTTACTTTTGAATAAAAGGGAGGGATTGCAGGAAGAAAGAACAGACCACACTCTCGTCCATCCACCCACAGATGAAGAGTAACTTGTTACAACACATCATACTAATTTTACTTTTGATTGGCCGTTTACTTCTAAATTCCTTATTGGCCTTTATAAGCAGCCCCCCACAAGAGCACCAACACAACTTACTATTAGCATCACTAAGGGAAGGCCAGGTGGCCGGACTAGAGAAGGATCCTGCAGTGACAGGAGAGCTGGTGGGGTCTTGAAGCTGTTGCTGATGACTGCTGCTGACCACGCAACTGGCGTTGCTCCTGCTTACACCCCCTGCTGCTGACACTGATATCGATGCACATCCTGCCAAAAGATTTCACATAAGAAGCACAAATACTAAA